GACCTTGCGCTTGCCAGGCAGGCGCTTTTGCCGCTGAGCTAAATCCCCAGCCCCTTACTGATATCTTTAAAAGCAAAAACAAACAAACTAGCTGTACATTTAGAAATTAAGAAACAATTTTTCAGGCCATTAAAAACTATCTGAATCAAGTCTCTCAGAGGGTTTTGAACCCTTTTGCTCAAAACTGTAAAATGCAAGACTTTCTGATCAGTCTGCGAGAACAGCTGACAAACTCAGGGACCAGAGATTTATCCAACCAGTTTAACTAAAACCCGGGTAGAAAGCACTGAAGAACGGCCGTCTGGTTTTCCCACAGGAGCGGCGCACACGGTGAAGGGCAGCAGCGCAGTGTTCAGAGGGCGGGCTGAGGGGAGGAGCCCGCGTGCCCGCGCGCAGCTCAGCCAGCCGAAGCACCCGCGCACGCAGCCAGGGGCAGGCGGACCAAGGAAGGTCAGAGCGCACCGCCTGGGAGTAATGAACACTTAACGCTGCTCCTGCACACTCACAAGGGTGAAGGTGGCAAATCCCACTTTTACTCCAACTATAAACATGAGTAAATGAATGCGGGATGTAATGCGGCATCTTAGCCACATTTTGTTCTGTGTTTTGAGACAGGTCTCGCTTGAACTCACTGTGTAGCCCAGGGACCCGGTGAGACACGCCGCTCCTCGCTGAGGCCTCCTCGGGCTCCAGGAGGGGTCGGGGGGGGGGGCACCTTTCCCACTTTTAGCACCTTTTTCTGTCCAAGGTTTTTCACTAAGGGTTTTTTTTTTTTTTTTTTTTTCTCCTGTGATACCAGGAATCGAACTCAGGACTCTGCACTTGCTAGGCAGGCGCTGTGCCACTGAGCTATCTCCCTGGCCCTGTACTAAGGATTTTGTGTGTGTGGCCAAAAAATAAATGGAACAGTATTCACTTCACTTCTCCTCTTTTTGTGGTGTTAGGTACTGCACACCAGGCCTCACACACGCAAGGACACACCCTTCTGGAGCCACATCCCTACCCGTTTTTTTGTTTTGTTTTTGTTTTTTTCTGAGACAGGGTCTTGGTGGGTGTGTAGCCCAGGCTGGCCTCAAACTCCCAGCAATCCTCTTGCCTCAGTCTCCTAAGTGCTGGCGTTACAGGTGTGTACCACCATGGCCAGCTTTTCTTTTCTTTTCCAAGATAAATTCTGCCCAGGCCAATCTTCAACCCCTGGGCTCAAGTAATCCTTGTGTTTCATCCTCCCATGTTGCTGGGACCACTTGGCCTATTTTTAAATAGTTATTTTCCTTTTTTTGTGTGTATTTATGGTGAGCATACTACTTTAGGGCAGCAGTTCATATAAACAACGTCTAAGGAACTACATGTTCATACTTTTGGGGTGCCTGCTGCCAGTACTTTTAATGCTAAGAGTATGTGGAAAAATATGTTTTCTGTTTACTGGCCTAGATACTTTCTCAGGTAGGCAAGAAGAAATAGAAGGATGTGAACTAAAGCACTGTTGGGAAAACTGGGAAACAAACTAAACGTTCAACAATGCAAGAACGGATCAGCCAGGGGGCACGATGGTGCACACTACAGCCCCAGCACTTGGAAGCTGAGCGGCAAGGTCAAGGCCGGCCTGCACTACATAGAGAAGGCCTGTGTCTTAACAACACAAAATGGATTCATATTCAAGCAGTGAAACACTGTACAGAGTTACATGTATCGACATGGGTTTACACGGGATTTTTAAAAGATCTGAAGGGAGGAAAAGCACAGGGCAGAGTGAAAATTACCACACACAAGACAGAGTGCTGGGCCGGGGATATACCTCAGCGGCACAAGCGCCTGCCTGGCAAGTGCAAGGTCCTGAGTTCGATTCCCAATACCAAAACAGAAAACAAAAAACCAGAGTGCTACATTGTTCACAGACACATGTGTGTGGCAACATTTACATGCGTGTGGCAACATTTACCACACTGCCTCTGTTTATAGCCCTGCAGAGGAGGAGGAATACTCAGGAATATTGGAGGAAGGGTTTTAAATACTTTTTGTTTCCTTTTTGTTCCAGTGCTGGGCACTGTGTTAAACACATGCTCTATGGCTGAACTATAGCCCCAGCCCCAAAATAGGTTTTATTTCTTAAAAAAAAAAAAAAAAAAAGGCGAGGTAAATAAATGTAACAAGTAGCTCACAAGTTCTCCTCAGGGCCAGCCCACACCGCAGCCCATGTCTGCTCTTCAAGGACCGCACGGCCACACCCGCCTCACTCCAACCTCCTTCCGAAGGACAGACATTTCCCACTGCTCTGGGTGTCACTTTTTAAATAGTTCTTGAATTTTTTTACATATCAGTGCACAAAAAGCTTTTCTATGCGTATTGTGTGTGTATGTGAGAGAGAGAGAGAGATGGGGTTTTGCTATGTTCCCTACACTGGTCTTAAACTCCTGGGCTCAAGGGATCTTCCTGCCTCAGCCTTCCAAGTGATGGGACTACAGGCACAGGCCACCTGCAGGTAAATTAAGCAGTTATTCGAGGCCCCTGCCCATGCTAAGCACACACGCCCATGGAGCTAAACCCCCAGCACCCCGTGTTCATTTTCTAGCTGCACAATACCAGGCTTTTCAGAACAGGCTCCCACACATACAATGCAGGCTGTTTTCCTCCTTTCATCACAGAAAGCTTCTCCACAGTGAATATCCTCGTCAAAGGTTTTATAACAAACTTCCTGAAGGAGCGAGTGCTGCTGGATCTTTTCAAACAGTCCTCTAAAAGCCTGCACCTACTCCAGCCCTGGCGCCTCTGCCACCCTCTCCCACGCCACCACAATGAAAGTCAGACTCTTCTCCCTCATTCTGTGGTTCTAAGGACCCAAAGCAGGGGTTCACACGGGCTTTGCAAGCCGAACCCCGGGCTACATTCCAGTGCTACCAAGAGGCTTTATGATCTGAGGAGAAACGGTTCATCCTTGTCAATTTGAGTTGTGTATTTAGAAAACTATCACTGTGACTCAGAACCTTTTTAATTTTTATCCTACACGACTCTGACATTTTTTCCCCCCCCTCCGGTACCGGGAACCGAACTCACGACCTTGCGCTTGCCAGGCAGGCGCGTTTGCCGCTGAGCTAAATCCCCAGCCCCGATTCTGACATTTTTTAAACCTCAAAGCACTTTTTTTTTTTTTTTTTTTTTTTTGAGAGAGGGTCTCGCTATGCAGCTCAGGCTGGCCTTGAGCTCACTTTGTAGCCCAGGCTGGTCTCGAACTCGCAACATCCTCCTGCCTCAGCCTCCCGAGTGCTGGGATTACAGGTGTGCGCCACTATGCCCGGCTAAGGCACCCTTTTATAGTATACAAAGGCATTCAAATTTTCTTCTGTAAGGCTGTCATTTGTCTATACACATGAGTCTGTTTCACATTTTCTTTTTGTTATTGTTTTTTAAGACAGGGTCTCACTATGTAGTTCCGAGTGGCCCTGAACCACGGAGCCCAGGAAACCCTGCGTCAGCAGCGCTGGGATTACAGGTGTGCGTCACCACACCCAGCCTAACAGGAAGTTTTTAAAACTCATGTCCATTGTTACTTTGGTACTAAACTAATTGTGTTGGTTACTTTTCTCTCCTCGCTGAGACAAAATACCGATGCTCAAAATTAAGGCAGGGAAGGTTTATTTAGCTCGCACTTTTTTGGAGGTTTCAGTCCATACCCGGCTGGCTCCAAGACAGACTGGCACACAGCACTGGCCAAGGAGGATGTTCTTGAAGTTTAGAGTGTGGAGAGCCTTCACTCAGTTTGTGAAATTTGTTGATATCTTTGAAAATCTTTTGTCAGATGAGCACACTGGTGCATGTCAGTAATCCCAGCTACTTGGCAGGCTGAGGCAGGAGGATCCCAAGTGTGATGCCACCCTAGGCAATTTAGACACTGTATCAAAAGAAAAAATAATCTAGGGCTGTAGCCCGGTGGTGGACCACTTGCCTACCATGTGAGGTCCTGGGTTCCACACGCACCACTGCAAAAACAGCAGCAAAAGTCCTTCGTGAGGCCTACGGCAGTGGGAGGAGCATGCGCAAGGTCCTGCGTTCAGGCTCCTGTACGAAAGGAAAATAGAGAAAGGAACATCTGAGGTCATGAAGACTGCCCGGACTCCACGAGCTGCCTCTGCCCCGCCTCCTGGGGGCGCACTCCAGCTCGGGAGCGCACGGACTGGCACCATCAGGCACAGCGGCCCGAACTCCTACACGTGCACCTGTGACCTGCAGGGAGAGCCCGGTCACGCGCACATCCGGGCACTTTCCGGGCGTCCCCCAGTCCTGTGCCGAGTCGCGACTCCGGGCCCGGCCAGGCTCTGTCCTCCGCAGGAAGAAGCCAGGCTATCCGGACCAGCAGGCAGCTCCGCCCCGACCCTGCGTCGGTGCCGCTCCCGCCGCCCGGCTGCCGCCTCGGAGGCGCAGCCTGGTGACAGCCACGTCTGTTCTCAGGGCTCCGCCACCAGGTCGCGGTCCAGGTCTCGAGAAGTAGCTGGAGAAGGAGGGACAGCCCGGCCGGAGCAGGCCGGGCCCGGCTCCCCGCACCGCAGAGACGCCGAGCCAGCGGAGGTTGGACTGTGCACGTGTGCAGCGTTAGCCTTGACCGCGCCCGCCCGCGTCCACGTGACCGCGGTGGGCGGGGCTTCCCGGGCATGCGCCTTGGCCCGCGGCGCGGCCGTCAGGCACTGCGGCGGGCGCCTCGAGGGCTAGTAGGACCCCGGCCCCAAGATGGCGGCGCCCAGCGAGGCGGCCGCGGCTTCCTCCTGCCCGGGCGATGGCGGTGGCGGGGGCTTCGGGTCCTGGCTGGATGGGCGTTTGGAGGCGCTGGGAGTGGACCGAGCCGTGTATGGCGCCTACATCCTCGGCGTCCTGCAAGAGGAGGAGGAGGAGGAAAAGCTGGACGCTCTGCAGTGCATCCTCTGTGCTTTCCTGGTGAGCAGCGAAACCCGGTCGGCACGTGGCACCCCCTTCCCCACTCGTGCTCACGGAGGCTCCGTGGCCTTCCCTGGGAGAACACGCTCCTGGCCCGAGCGCGGGGCCGTGAGAGGAGGGCCTGCTTCCCTGCCAGGATGGAAGCGGAGGGTCCGAGGGGGCGCTCCGGCTCCCTCTGAAGACCTAAGTGCGATCGGGGTTAGGGTCGTCATCAGTCCCGAAAACCAGTCCCGTTCCCCTCCATTTCAGTGTTCAGCGGGGGGAGCCAAACGTTCTGGGCTGTCTGCCCATGGGGAGGCAGTGCCTGGGGCTGTCCCACGACCAAAGCCGGTAGGAAGTTCCGTCGCAGGTAGGGGTCCACGACCAAAGCCGGTAGGAAGTTCCGTCGCAGGTAGGGGCCCACAAAAGGTGAGCTGGTGGCAGAGGTCTCCTCGGGGTGGGCGGAGCTGAAAGCAGTGTCATGCTTGATCTTTTACAGGGTTTAGGCATTTGGCGATCATTGGTGTGGCGGGCGGTGGATGAGAGCTCGGAGAGAAATGTGCCAGCTGGCCTCTTAGCAGATCGCTAGTTCACAAATGCGTACTTAGGGTTTACTTAGGAAGCCATCAAAATGTCCAGTCTTCCAGCCTGATCTTCTCTGCTACATTCATCTCCGCTCCCCCACTCCCACACAAAGTTATGGTGGATTCGATTTGCTGATCTGTGGCACCCAACAGACTCTTTCCGTGAAATAGGAGCTGAAAAGTACATGTGCTTGTTTTGTTGCCAGTGCTGTGGGAACTAGGGTTGTCTTTGTATTTGTGATGCAGAGGTCTTGCAAACTGGACCGCTGCTGTGAAAGCCGGCAAAAGCTTTATCCTTTGGCACCTGTCACAATGGACAGAAAATCAAAGGATATTAGGAATCCTGTATAGATATAAACATACATAAACATATTTTGTAGAAAGTAGGAAACAGTTTCAAATCCAAAAGTATTCCGTGAAGGTTACAGGGCATACTAGGAAAAGAAAAAAAAAAAAAAAATCTCAGCGGAAGTGCAATTCATGGGCACATGATTGAAACCTTTCACTGGGCAGCTGTCCCACATCCCTCTGGCGAGAACCCTCTGAGTCAAACTTGCTGTGTTGAGATTGCCCTAAAAAGTGGAAAACTTTAACAAAGCTTGTAGAGCAGCTTGGGAGTTCGGTAGAAATACAGCCCAGTAGAATAAAATCTTCTCTTGGACCCTGATGTTGCAGATTACAGGGTAAGGAATAAGAGGCAAGGAACTTTAGTTTTTGTTTTTTCTTTTTTTCTGGTGGTAGTAGGGGTTGAACCCAGGGCCTTATGCACTTGTTCCACCGCTGAGCTACATTCCCAGCCTTTGTTAGATTTTATTTTGAGACAGGGTCTCACTAAGTTGCCCAGGCTGGCCTCATACTTTGATTTTCTGTCTCAGCATCCTAGGTGGCTGGGATTACAGGCATGTGCCCCTGTGCCTGGTCCTTGAATTTTGCTTCCAGTTGGGAGTTTTCTAAAGACTCAGTGATGAGCTTGTTAAAATAACTTCGGTACTTCTGGGTGTCATTCCCTTACCCAGCCCTTTTCATGGTGTCCTGTGTGTCTGTTGATAAATGCTGCTAACAGACTCTTGAGAGAAGAGGTGGTTATCTAGAAAAAACGTAGTACTTTGTGTCTGTGTATCAGAGCATAAGCTGCAGAAGACAGAATCACCTTTGAGAGTCCCTGTCACCCCGACCCGTTCATGTGCCATGTTTGATTTTCTCATGGCTTTCCTCACCCTCCTCTGTAGAAACTGGCTGGGAAGAACTGGGCGGAAACCATGCAGTGGAGCAAGGGTCCTGTCCATGAAACAGCTGAAGAGTAAAAGGGCCAAAGGGATGTGTTGTGCATTGAACACATATTTTAAAGTGCTGCTTGCTTTTTCTTCTCTTTTTTTTTTTCTTTTCTTTCTTTCTTTTTTGAGACAGGGCCTCACTATGTAGCTCAGGCTGGCCTTGAACTCACTATGAGCCCTGGCTGGCCTCAAGCTCATGGCAGTCCTCCTCCCTCAGCCTCCCAAGTACTAGGATTACAGGTGGGCACCGCCATGCCTGGCCACAGTTCTGCTTTCTGTCAGCCCATCTGGACGCATATATGTTAGAGGTCCCTAACTTTTTGCATTTTTTTGAGAGAGGCTCATGTTATGTAGCCTACGCTGTCCTCACATACAAGATACACCTTCCCCAGCCTCTCTAGGGCTGAGATTACAAGTGTGTGGGCCACAACTCCTGGCTACCCCTTTTATATCAAATGCTTTCTAGGAAAAACAGGAAGCACATCCAAATCAGTTGCTAGATTGGGCTATGATTAAGTCTTAGGAATTACGAAGATTGTGAGCAGGAATTCAAGGCAGGTTTCAAGAACATGGTGTATACTGTAGTCAGGAGCCAGTAACAATAAAGGTCAGAAAGTCAGACTTGCTCACAGGCCTGGTATAGGCACTTAGGGTGTCTGATACCACAGCCAGCATCGTTTCTGTTCTACTGTGCAGAGCGGGAGATGGACTGGCTCGTGCCAGACCCTGTGCTGGAGTCAGGTTGGCCCCTCTGCCTGTCCATCCCTCGTGTCCCCCAGCCCTGGGTGTGCTGTAGTGTGGACGCTGATAAACCCTGGAGAATATTCTGACTGTGTCAGCTGAGGAAAAATTCAAGGGGTGATTTTTGACTTAGGTGATGGATTTTTTGCACCAAAAGAATAAGAACTGGGGAGGCATGGAAGGGAAAATGGGAGATGCTGGTCAGAGGGTAGAAATTCTCAGTGAGACTGGAGCAGGAAGCTTCAGTGACCCATGTCTGAGTGGTGACCATAATAAATGGCGCATTGTACATTTCAGAATTGCTACAAAAAATAGATTTTAGATGTTTTCACACAGAAAACTAGTGTGTGAGATGAGCCTTGTAATTACCTTGATTTTATCATTCCATAGTGGAAACATATCAAAACATTACATTGTATCACACAATTATATGGGTTGGTTTTTTGTTTTGTTTTGTTTTGTTTTGGTACGGGAATTGAACTCAGGACCTTGGGCTTGCTAGGCAGGCACTTGTGCCACTGAGCTATATCCCCAGCCCAACACACAATTATATACAATTATTGTCAATTAAAAATGCAATATATATGTATTTAAAAGTTTATCTACCTATATTTTTTTGAGATAGGGTCTTATGGTATATTTCAGGGTGGCCTTGAGCTCCCAGGTGTCTGGGATTGAAGGTGTGTGCTGGCACCCGGCTGAATCTGTCACACATTTTTTTTTGGTACTGGGAATCGAACACAAGACCTCATGCTTGCCAGGCAGGCGCTGTGCCACTGAGCTGTATCCCGGCCCCTCACACGTTTTGAAGCCTGCTCTACTTCTGGGCCCAGACCTCGGCCCGGGTCCCCTCCTTCGGGAGCGCTATGCCTCTGGCAGCTCGTCTTTAGGTGGCTGTTGCTTTCTTGAACTCTCAGAATATTAATTGGTCTCCTTTGCCCACTAGGAAGAAGACTCCCTCCTTACCATCTGCAAAGAGATTGTGGGACGGTGGTCGGAATCTCAGAATGTTGTTCCCAAAGTGAAGAAAGAAGGTAGCGTTGGTGTTTGTGGTCACCCCAGAGCCTCTTCTGGGAACCTTTGTGCAGGGGACCCCAGGGAGTTTCACATCTTCCTTCGGACACTGATGCCCACCAAGGTTTCTGCCAGCAGTGTGCTTTAGCTTTCTTCTTTTTTTCCCTCCCTACTTCGAGTTGAACCCCAGCCCTGCGCACTGAGCTCCATCTCCAGCCCCTTTTTTATGTTTTCTTTTGAGGCAGGATCTTGCCAACTTATTAAGTTGCCCAAGCTGTGCTTGAATTTTTGATCCTCCTTCCTCAGCTGCCCAGGGTCCTGGGATTACAGGTGGTTTTAACCTTTTACTGAACATTGATTTCCTTTCACCTTTTCCATTTTACCTTATCGGCCTGAACACGGTTGTCTTCCCTGGGTTGGTGGTTGGTTGTTTCTCCCTCCTTCTCTCCCTCTCCCTCCCTCTCTCTCCTCTTCTCTCTCTCTGTAGGAGGTTGGGGATTTACTGGGAATTGAACCCATGGAGTGCTGAGCTATCTCCCCAGCCCTTTTAATTTTGAGACAGGGTCTAGCTAAATTGCCTAGATTGTCCTTGGACTTTGAATCCTCCTGCTTGAGCCTCCTGAGTAGCTGGGATTACAGGTGTGCACTGCCCTGGCTTTTTCATCTTTCCAGGATCCCGTATTGGCCTTGTGGGTACAATCAGCTATATCTTCCTCACTTCACCTTTTTCATGTTCTCATTTCATAATACAGATTGTAGTTGGGATTGTGCTTGCTTCAGCTAAGCTCTTCACCTTAATTTATGCTGAAAGAAATGGGCTCATATACCCAGAATTAGGATGGTAAGTTACCTGAGAAAATACAAATCATAAAAGTCAAACTTTTCGGTTCCCGGTACTGGAGAAAAACCAAAAAAAAAACCAAAAAAAAAAGTCAAACTTGGACACAACCTGGCGCAGTCCTCTGCTGCACTAGAGTCACCTGGTGCACTGGGCTGGGCCAGGCAGTGGTGTTTTCTAAGTGTGCCCCAGACAACGCTCCTGTGCGGCCGGGCATGAGAAGAGCTGCGTTACACCCCCGTGCCTTTCCTCCCTGAGCATAAGCAATAAGATCATAATTGATCTTATTTTAAAATGTGGCAAAATACTGTGTTCTTTTTTTTTTTTTTTTATCCTTTCGAGACAAGATCTTGTTATGTAGCCCAAGCTTCAAACTTTTGATCCACCTGCCTCAGCCTTCCAAATACTGGGATTACAGGCCTGCATCTTCACACTGAGCAAAATATTCCTAAGAATTTTACTTGGCATAATGATAAACTTGAGCAGGCGCAGCCTGGGTTGGTTGCACATGTGGGCGCTTTCCCGAGATTCTCAGGCAGCACCTCCCAGGCCTTTTCTCTAAGCAGCAGCACCTCAGGGCATGAACCAGTTAGTCTGTGTTGCCCCTTGGGCCAGCTCCTGCCTGCTCATGGCCCCTAGGAAGGTTCCTCTGACAGCTCTGGAGTCAGCAGGTGCAGCCTGGGGGGCTCAAATCACGAGCCCCTTCCTCTCTGTAACTGCACCGTCCCTTCTTGTGCTCTTCCCAGACGAGGTCCAGGCCATCGCCACACTGATTGAGAAGCAGGCACAGATCGTGGTGAAACCTCGGGTGGTGTCAGAGGAGCAGCGGCAGAGGAAGGCCGCCCTGCTGGCACAGTATGCTGATGTGACCGATGAGGAGGAATATCCTTGCCTGCAGCCAGGGCGTGGCTCAGTGACCTGGGGAAAGGGCGTGTGTGTGTGGGGGTGTCCCCTTAATTTCCTGTTTTCCCCTCTAACCTAAGCCAGCCTGGTGCCACGAGGCAGGAAGTTAGTAAGTTCAAGGACAGCCTGTGCCCCTTAGTGACCCATCGAGTCCCTGCCTCAGTAAATAAGGGCTGAGGATGTAGCTCAGCGCAAAGGCCCTGGGTTCTCTCCCTGATACCAAGAAAAAAAAAGCAATTCTCGGTGGCTCTGAGTGGCTGTGAACCATGGAGAGGTGAGTTGATCGCTTACACACACACATACGCACACACATACATACACAGACATACATGTAGACATGCTTACATGCACACACACGTGCATGCTCACATACACCCACTCACCTCTACACACACACACACACACACACACACACACACACACACACATTTTGGTACAGAGATGGAGCCCAGGGCCTTGCACATGCTAAATACTGCTGTGCTCTTGAGCTGAACCCTTAGTCTAGACTTTTTGTTTTTAACACATTATCAGTACATTCCTGAAAACTTTAGTGTAAAACAAATCATGCCTTAATGGTCCTTTTTATATTGTGCTTTCAGAACATTTGTGTCTTATGGTTTTCTGGCTGGTTTTTGTGTCCTGAATGTTACTGAGGCACTAAGAAGAATCGGAGGCAGCAGGACGTTTGTGGCAGATCACAACCAGAAGTTGGGTACTGTGAGAGTTACGCCGAGTTAGGAGCAGTCTCATGGGACTCTTTCCACTATGATCGTAGTTAAAAGTACAGCCGAAGCAACCCCAGAGTAAATCTGGAATTTGAGTGGGGACTCTACAGAAAGCGAGCGTGGGGGGGTCAAAATGGCACCTGTGGGTGGGACGTAGATGGACAGCTCCCCTGGTGCACACGGATGGGGTTGGAGCCTTGTGCTTGGGCCGTCACTCTAGAAATGTCTGCGGCATCATCAGGGCTGTGAGAAGAATTACCGGGTGCTTCCAGCTGTTTCCATTCCAGGTTTTCCTTGTGGCTCTCTTGCCAGGGTTGGCAGCACTGTAGCCCTCAAGACAAAAATGTCAGTTCTTGGGTAAGAAAAGAACTTTGCAAAGCAACAGCTATCCTGGAGGATGTGTGGAAACTCAGGTTTCTGGGCATTCCCCCCCAGGGTTTCTGGCTGAAGAGGTTGGGTCCAGGAAGGCACATTACTGGGCACAGTGCTTCTGGAACTGCTGGTGAGAAGGTGTCTTGCTGTGCCCTGGCCTGCAGGTTGCAGTCACCCAGAATAACTTAAATTGCTTCTCAGCCTCTAAGAGGAGAGTTTATAGAAGCTCTGGACACAATTCCCTAAGTGGAGATTTTCTTTTCTTTTTCTTTCTTTCTTTCTTTCTTTTTTTTTTTTTTTTTTTGATTTTTGAGACAGTCATGTAGCCCAGGTTGGCCTCAAACTGCCAGTGATCCTCCTGCCTCAGCCTCCCGAGTGCTGGGAAGACAGGTGTGTGCGTTACCCGACTTTACCGTCATGCCCCAACAGGGCCCACCCTGCGTGTAGCCTGCTTCCTGGCTTAGCTGTCTGGGACACGTTTCTGATGCTGAGTTGGGTGGTACAGGCCTTTGTTTTCTGTCTGACTTTTCCTTAATGGTGGTCACTGAACCAGACGAGAATGACGATTCCGGCGCTGGGGTAAATGCCGGTTCTGACAAATGTATCCTTCTGTCTGTGTCTGTCCCCACGTGTCTCCAAAGATCCTCTAGGGGGTCCTTTTCTACTCTGTTGTCACTGCCAGGGCTTCCTCTATCTCCAGGTACTTCTCTCGTGCCAGCACAAGGAGCCCACCCTCGATGGTCCAGGTAGTCAGCTTAAGACCGTGGTGGTGAACCTGTGTCACGTGTGCCACAGCCACCTGCTTGTTGTCATGGAGAGCTCTGCAAGGTTCACATTGCTGCAGAAGCACTTTCTCCGGCTGAGCGAGTCGGGGGGCTCTGTGCAGGGCTGGTGGGAAGGCTTTCCAGTCTGTACGCCAGGGCGCAGATCTGGGCTGTGTGGCGCTGTACAAAGACTGAACACTTTAGCTGGAGATATACATAGTGAAATACCTGTGCTGAGGAAGGTCTCTCCTGACAGACTTGCTTCCTGAGCCGCTGCCCAGAGAAGGCAGGCTTCTAGATCCACTCTGGAGCTCAGGAGGACACTGGTTATTAGGGAAAGAGAGCTGATTGCAGGGTCACTCACTCATTAACTTCGGTGTTGGGGTTAAACCTAGGGCCTTGTGCATGCTAGGCACATGCTTTACCTTTGAGCCACCCCCTAAGCCTAAAGTATTAAAGTAGAAAGAAGTCATGCTTTAAGATAGGTGCCTGTCTGATATTAACAGACCTTGTTTTTATAATTATAAGAAATGAGAGCTAGGCATGGTGGCTCATGCCTATAATCCCAGCACTTGGGAGGCTGACGCAGGAGTTGCTGCTAGTTCGAGGCCAGCCTGGGCTACATAGTGAGTTCAGTGGCAGCCTGAATTACACAGTGAAACCCTGCCTTGGAAAACAAACATAAAAAGACATGAGTACAATTTTTGGCTAGTTATTTTCTAACAATTGTTAAATTTATTTTGTATCTCGTAAAGTCTTGTAAGCTTTAGTAGTGTAGGAAAAACTTGGTAAGATTATTTAACTTTTCAAGCATTTTTCTTTTTCTTTTTTCATCCTTTTGAGGCAGGGTCTTGCTGTGCGGTTCAGGCTGGCCTTGAGCTCACTTTGTAGTCCAAGTGGGTCTCAGACTTGCAGTGATCCTCCTGCCTCAGTCACCCGAGTGCTGGGATTACAGGCATGTGCCACCATGCCCAGTTCATACTTCTCAAGCAGTTTTATAGTGCCAAGTATATAATTTTCCAGTTATACTCTTATCATTAAAACTGTCGTAGCTACACCAGCAATATTCTGTTGTTGAATATGTATTTACACTTGAGTGAAACTTCATTTTGATAATGTACTTTAAAATTCAGATTTAGCTAAACCTGGAAAGAAAGCCAAAAAGGCCCCCACAAAAATAGATTAAAAAAAAAAAACAACTAAGAGAAAAAGTGATTTTTAATCTGAAAGATGTTTTTAGAATTGCCCTGGTAGCACTAGGATTTCTCTGTAGAACAAGATAAATGCAAGGATTATCTTTGAAGGCTGGGACCCAGGGAGAGGACAGCAGGGTGAGGAGGATATTAGCTGGGGCCTTTGTCACCTGCGCCTCAATCCCTTAACTCACTTCAGCTCTGTTCCGAAACACCAACGTGGAAGATGTCCTCAGTGCTCGGAAACTGGAGCGGGACTCACTTCGGGATGAGTCCCAGAGGAAGAAGGAACAGGACAAGCTACAGAGGGAGAGGGACAGACTAGCCAAGCAGGAACGCAAGGAAAAGGAGAGGAAAAGGACACAGAGAGGGGAGCGGAAGCGGTAACCCCGGGTGGCTCTGCTCTCCCCCGGCAGACCTCAAGCCGTGCTGGGTGTAAGAGGACTGAGCACCTCGGCGAAGGGTTTCTGCTTTTGTTTACATGGTTAAAAGGAAAATCACAATCATCCTGTTACAATAGGTGTGTGTTTGGTGGTGTGGGCAGTCACGTTACAGTCGATACTCTCTACCAAAGACCTGGAAGGGGGCAGCCTTTATATTTTAATACCCAAGTCCCAGGCTCTTTAGCTCCTTTTTAAAAAAAAATCTTCCATGGATAAAGAGCAGGATTCAGGAAGCTTAGTCAGGTTTGTCCTGAAGGAGCGAAGCCAGGACCCCTGCTCGGTGGTGCGCAGTGGAGCACAGGCTGCTCTGGAGGTGATGTTTACCCCAAATGTAGCGGTCTCCGGCTAAGCTGGAAAGCCCTGCTGAATCCAGAGTTGATAGTGTATGCCAGCAAACTAGAAAGAGGGCAGACTATTTGGTGAGGGAATGTTGTAGATTTGAGAATGTTTTTAAAGAAAGTTTCAGCTTACAGGAGAAAAAAGTCTTTAAGTAGAGATAGTTACGCATTTTTCCTCACCTAGGCAGTGACTTTAAGAAGGAAGAGTTGGTATTGTGTGCAAGGATATCCTTGTTAGCTAGATTTAACTTTTTATAATTGTGAATCTCCCTGAGTAACAGTAGATTTTAATCCTGATTTGCCCTAAATCATGACTGATATGACTGCTAGTTCCTGGTTTAGGGAAACTGGAGGAATTACCCTTGTAGGAAAAATGCTGGAACCCTGGTGACACAGATTCTTAGGACAGCACTGGTCAGTGCCAAATGAACTCATCCAGTGGGCAACTGAGGGGTGAGGCCTGGAAGTCAGAGGTTGCAGGGCTCTTCCTGCAGGTCACAGTCACAGCCACATCTGCTGCAGGCTAGGCCCTTCCCTTGCTGGCTCCGGCAGAGCCACCAGGGCTCAGCAGACCACCACTCAGGAGCTGGTCTGCCCACCTGGCTTTTTGGGCATGGTGCAAACTAAAATAGTTTTTACATTTTTAAAGATTATAAAGGAAACTAGGTGCGTCACAGGTTTGAGCCTAGCCTGGGAAACTTGGTGATTTAGCGAGCCCCTGTCTCAAAATTTAAAGGACTGGGCATGTAGCTCAGTGCAAAGGCCCTAGGTTCAATCCCTAGTACCGCAGGAAAAAAGAAAAGAAAAAGCATGATAGACCACAGGTGGCCTGTGAAACCTAAAATATTTACTATCTAGCTCTTGAAGAAAGTTTGCTGAGCTGTTTTATATCACTGCAAGATTAACAAGATCTTTTACCTTTTGCAGAAGGTTTTTTAAAAAAGGCATGAATAAAGAAAAGGAGATATGTTGCCTCTTCACAGTCCTATAACCATGGCATTGCAAAAATAATTACCTTTTTAAAAAAATAAACTTTATTTAAATCATGTCTTCTGTTTGATTCTTTCCAGGTACCTGTGGAAATAGGGTTTGTGTGGACAGTCACTTAGGAATGTTTTTACTTTATGCTTTTGTTTTAATTAGCCCTAGAACCTCTTCTCCCTGGAATCCATAAATTCTTTTCCTCAGATTTCCTTTCTGTGGAGTGGAGATCAGGAGATCAGAAAGTTGTTTGTTTTGGGGGGAGCCGGGGAAAAAGTCAGTAAATTGGCTTTGAAGTCTTCTGAGTTACTAGGGCAGGCTTAATTCTTAGTGATAGGAATAGGTGGTGGCATCAGCCTGTTTAATCAGGGACCTTTATTTTGGGATTTGGTTTGTTCTCAGCTTAGTCTCTGAAAGAGTCAGCTTATATCCATGGACCAATCAAGGGTATCTGCTTCAATTTCTTAACAGTTGATTCTTCCTTCTGGGGCTGTTCTGTATGTCACAGTTAGTGTACATTCAAACTAATACTTCAGCAGAAAGGGTCAGCTTGTTAGGCTTTGAGTATGATTGTCCACTCAAATGACAAATCCTTTCCATCTAAACTGTTCAGTATTGCAAAGGGCAAATTTTAAACGATCATATAATAAATGACCGTATCTTCCAGAGTAAGATTAAATTTTAGGCCAAGTGTGGTGGCACACACCTGTAATCCCAGCGCTTGGGAAGCCCCAGGGCAGGAGGATCGCTATGAGTTTGAGGCCAGCCTAGGCTACACAGTGAGTCCAAGGCCAACCTGAACTACATAGTGAGATCCTGTCTCAAAAAAAAAGGTTGAGTTGTAGGCCAAACTTGAGATTTCGGCCATAACTAATTCCCAACTGTCTAAAACTTTATAGTAGATTATTCAAATAGGAAGAATACTGATAAAATAATTTAAGGAAATTTTCAAATGCCTTTGTGTAAATTGTTTTTTCCATAAAAATGAATCCACCAATTAGAAATGGTAGGAGCACCAGCTTTACCAGTTTCACTGCATTTTTATTTGTTTATTTATTTTTCAGTGGTATTGGGGATTTGGCCTTTGTACTGAACTACATCTCTAGGTCTTTTTTATTTTCTATTTTGAGATAAGGTCTTGCTAAATGGTTAAGTTGTCCACGTTGGGCTTGAACTTTGGTGATCTCCTGCCTCAGCCCCAAAGTGCTAGATTTAGAAATGTGTGCCACTGTGCCTAGCTGGGTGTATGTTTCTGTAGGTTGTACTTCAGAAGTATATGGTTTGTAAGAATCATCCACTAGATGTTACCCAGTAGAAAGGGCCAACCAATTAAACTTGTGATTTTTTTTTTTAACAAAGTGTTCAGTTTTTGTAAATGGACTAGTTTCATATCTGACCTGTCATATCAAAGCTTCCCCCAGATTTTATTCTGGTTTGCCTAATTAGCATAAAGGTAATAGAAGTTTTATCTTTGAAAGTGTTCATGTGCAATTCAAGTATATCTGAAGGCCATAAATCTATCTACCAATACTGTTACTTAATGAAACATAAAACAAATTCTTACCAGTTTAATGAAATTCAGTTGATTTTCTGACATGAGGCAGAAGGGTTAGACACGAATGCAAATATAAAAAAAAAAACCATATATTTTCAACAATTTATTCTTTTCCTGAGTGACTGAGTTCAGTACAATATTTGTTTTCATAACATCCAACATGCCTCATGTAAAACTTAACCACTTTCTGTGCAGTGACTGGTGGGGTGATCTATTTATTTGACTACCCTCATGCAATTCATTTGAGTAGTTCTATGGCTTATCAGTGATCAAAATGTTTCTCCCTACAGTTACTCCTGCATTTGTAAGCAGTTTCTTCCACACATCATCTAAAGAAAATTTATGTGGTGTGATTACACTTTTTTTTTTTAAATACCAGGATTTCTAAAACTAAGGAAAACAACATTTAAAACATCAGTGTTTCTGATTAAGGATACAATTAAATTTCATCAGTACATTATATTATAGTTTAACTCATGCTAGAAATGTTAAAACCCAAGATCTTCTGAGTCACATAATACCAACATTTCATATTAATGAATAAATTACTTGGGTTCCATAACAGAAATACTAAGGAATGAGAAAGAAAAAGCCAAGCTTTCAAGTACTCTTTTAAAAAAAAATATAGAAGCAAACCAATGAACACAACTACATAAAATATATACGAACCAAATGCAAACTAAACTAGTTAAGGATAAACCTTAAAAAATTACATTTTAGAACTCGTGATACCCTCATAAAAGACAGCCAACTAAGGGTATTAAAACAGTAGTCATTATTTTAGAGACTGCAAATCAAGTGTAAAAGATCCAGATAAAGGAGTTATTTTGATTCAATTTAAATACTTTAAAATTAGAAATAATACTTAATAGTATACACTTTAACTTTAAAATTCAAAATTATTAATACTTAATAGTATAAATTTTAAAGAATATACACAAATGATTTGAACAGGTTTTATATCCAATAACTTGCATGGTTTTCACACTGGCACTATCACTAATTTAGGAGAATCAGATGCATTTCCCTCCACATACTTAGGCACTAAGATTTCAGATTTACAAATATGGTAGTATTTTAACTTTCTACATGAATATTTGGATTTATCCGTTTTCCTTTGTCTCTTAGGTTTATCCAGTTTTGTAAGGAAAACACTCATATCACAATCAACATTGTCTTGGTTACTAGACTGTAGCCATAATTGGGTTACAGTCACTTAAGATTCATTATTTGGAATTATACTTACTAAGGCAGAACTAATTGAAGAATTTGATATTTGCATTTACCTGCACTGCAGAATGAGTTTAAGTAACATTTTAGCTGTTAGGAAATATTTAATTTGCTTAAAGAAGCTTGTTATTTTGGGCTACTCAGAACTCCTAGAGTAGTCAACTCCACCTCTGAGTTCACTTTATATCTCATTCATTGTAAATAGATTTTTAAATAGAAGTTAGACTTCATTAAGGTATTCACTAAATTGAAAAGAAAATTAATGTACTGTAGTTTGACAAGTTCATTAAAAATTGTTAGCACGTCTTGATAGATTCACTTATCAGCTTTTCACTCTTCCCTCTGAGGCCTTTCCTTAATGTTTGCTTGTGTCACCTCTGGCTCACTGGATTGCTGCTAGGCATGCTCTCAGGGACCTTGTTGTCAGTTCACTATGTCCTGTAAAGATTTCTCCACATCTGCTTGGCCCGCTGTGGTCACTGTCTTTGGCAGGGTCATCTGCAGTGCACACCACAGAGTTGTGCGTGCTTTCCGAGTAGCCACACACATCTCTTTAATTGCTGAAGCAAGGGCAAAAACATCTGTAAAAGAAATATGGAGGGCCATTTCATATAGATACCACTTTAATATCCCTAAATTCATGCAGCCCAGTGTTGGCACTACTAAATGATCAGATGTGATTTTTATAAAAACAAGGATCAGCTGGGCATGGTGGCACATGCCTGTGAGCCCAGAACTTGAGAGGCTAAGGCAGCAGGATTTCCATGAATTCAAGGCCAGCCTAAAATACACAGTGAGACCCTGTTTAAAAAAAAAAAAAAAAAAGGAAGAAAAAGATGGCTTTTGATTGAGCTAACCAAAGTATTTTGTTCTTTAAATACTTAAAAGTATTGATACTTTATTTCTGATTTGTATGATAATGCTTTGGGCAAAACATAGAATATGTCTTAAGATGGGTATTATAATTAAATGAACAAAATTTAAAACAGAACAGTGTATCTTTGGAATAAAGGTGTTGATCACTTGGCAATCTTCTTTAGATAAGTGTTAATTTTAGAAATCCAATCTTTTAATCCCAATCTGATTTAAAAATATTCAAATGAGCAGAGCATGGTGGCACACACCTGTAATCCCAGCATTTGAGAAGCTGAGGCTGGAGGATCTTTGCGAGTTCAAGACTAGCCGGGGCTACAAAGTGAGTTCAAGGCCAGCCTGAACTGCATAGCGAGACCCTGTCTCAAAAATGACCCCCCCCAAAAATTCAAACGATCACACTGCCTTGTTAAAGGATGTGCATTAATATTCATACCTCTGTCATCCTGGCATCTTGGCACTCCTTGCCGCTGCCGATTTGAAGTGTTAACAATCTCATCCTTTCTGCGTGACTGTACGATGTGAATGGATTCCAAGTGTCTGTCGAGAGCGGTGGAGATGTTGGCATGAAGGGGAGAGCTTCGGAGACGCTCCATTTTGCCTAGTAACGTCATAACCTGAGGGAAACATTTCATACTCAGTAAGGCTTCTAACCCTACTGTCATGCTGTCTCCTTAAGTATAAACAAATCTTCAATGAAGCCCAATGGAAATGTGAGCAGCAATAGCCATTCCGTAAACAAATGCTTACTGTACTGTACCATGAGGATGGGGACAAATGGAAAATCAGACTTTTATACCTACTTGGTATGTTCATTTTATAAACGTCCAACATTTCCGTGCCAATGACAGTATAAACAAGATCTGATACTGTTTTTGATAATAAGAGCCTACAGCTGGGGGGCAGGGTGCACGCCTATAATCCCAGCACCTGGGAGGCTGTGGCAGGAGGATCTTTGAGAATTCAAAACTAGCCTGGGCTACAAAGTGAGCTCAAGTCCAGCCTGAACTTCATAGTGAAACTCTGTCTCCAAAAAAAAAAAAAAAAAAAAAAAAAAAAAAAGAAAAAGAAAAATGCTTGAAAAGAGTCTGCAAATAAATAGAGTCTGCAAATAGAGCACTGCTAGGAGGTATGATCATCTGAGGGGAAGAATTCTAGTTAAAGGAAGATGCATTAGTTTACTTCTAATTTCAACAAGTCCTGAGTCTCAAATGTTTCCTTTGTAGAAGTCAGAAATCAGAAATGTTCAGATAATAGTACCAACACAATTTTAAGGAATTAATAATACAGAGAGTCTTGATTTTTTGTTTGTTTGTTTGTTTGTTTTTGTTTTTGGTTTTGGTTTTTCTCCGGTACCGGGAACCGAACTCACGACCTTGCGCTTGCCAGGCAGGCGCTTTTGCCGCTGAACTAAATCCCCAGCCCCTCTTGATTTAATTTATGTTGAAATAATAAGAAAAAAACTGTAATTGTCAAAACTGCTAAAAAAAATTTAGGAAGCTTCTCAGTCCTCTCATTAAAGAAGCTTTAAGCCAGATGTGGTAGTGCATGCCTGCAGTCCCAGCATTCTGGGAGCCTGAGGCAAGAGGATCACAAATTTTAACCCAGCCTGAGCAACTTAGCAAGACCCTGGTCTCAAAATTTAAAGAAAAAGGGTTGGAGATGCAGTTTGCTTGTGAAGGCCTTGGGTTCGGTCGCTACTACCAGCAAAAATAATAACAACAATAATAATGAAGCTTAAAAGGCACTGAATACAGTAGACTGACAGGGGGAGTATATTTTTATGCCTAATGTCTTTCAAATTCTAAACTTGGAAAGTATATGGAAAGAGAAATTTTTGATTAAGATTTGAGTATCAAAATAATTACCTTTAGAAATGAAATGATTAAATAATTCAAATGAAAAATGGTGTTTAGTGATAGGAGAATGTTGGCAAAATAAGGCCCTGGATGAATCACTACTTGAACCACATTCATACCAAGTTTTTGTCTTTCCTTCTTCCTCACCCCACCCTTTTTACAGGCTAGGCTGCTAAATGCTAAGTTGCCCAAGCTGGGCTCAAATTTGTGGTCCTCCTGCTTCAGCCTCCCAGTGTGCTGGGATTATAGGCATGGCTTTCATACCAAGTTTCTTTACAATAAATATTTCAGGTGTTAAATATTTTCCTGCCAATTGTACAAAAGCCAGATCTTTGAGAGGTAAACAAAATAATAAAATACAAGTCCACCCAAAAAACTCCATGGAGTAGTTTATGGTAAAAATAAGGTATGGATGAGCCAGGTCTGGTGGCACATGCCTGTGATACCAGCACTTGGGAGGCTGAGGCAGGAGGATCACTGGGAGTTTCAGGCCAGCTTGTGCTATACAGTGATTCAAGGCCAGTCTGAACTGAACTACATAGCAAGACCCTGCTTTAAAAAAAAAAAAAAAAAAAAAAAATGATTAATAAAATGCTTTATCACATATGTTAATTTTTCTAATCCTTAAAGTGACTTATTCAGTGATTAAAAATAATCTCTTTTGCTGCATGTTGTTCTCAGACATCAATTTCTATTTGGAACACAGTAAGTTTATAAACAGAAGAATCATTTAAGTTACTAAAATTACTTTTTAAATTATTTGAGTGGGCCGGGTGGTGGTGCATGTCTGTAATCCCAGCACTTGGGAGGCTGAGGCAGGAGGATCGTTGCGAGTTCAAGACCAACCTGGGCTACAAAGTGAGCTCAAGGCCACCCTGAACTGCATAGCGAGACCCTGTCTCAAAAGGACCAAAAAATAAAAACATTTAAAAAAATAAATTATTTGAATGGGTCTATTTTCCTTTTCCTAAATATTATAGTTCTAGAACCAAAAATGGAAAAGAATATATTTCAGAGTTACATGTAAATACGATTTAAAAATCCTTGAGAAATCTAACATGCTTTAATGTTTAATATGTTATCAAGTAATTAAAAATCCACTATTGGATGTTTTTACAGCTTACTCTCGCCTGTTCTCGAAGTTCATCCACAATTAAGCGATCAACTCTAGACGGGTTGGAGGTCAGCCTTGGAATTGGAGTATTGTTAGTACTGGATACTTTTTTTCCTGGATAATTCTTGGCAAGGGCTAATTCAGTCTGTAAAAAATCATGTAACTTTTAGATGCTCAGTTTTCTAAATGTAATTCAGTTATGATTAATATTTTTCATAGCCCTAAGAAATAAAATTACCCCTTAAGAAAATTCTAATTTGGTACCAAAGGCAACAACTATAAACCGTAGTGTGACAGTATTTTTCTATTATACTTAATACATATAAAAGACTCAAATACCCCTACAGTTTAATATTAAAAAATACAAAAAAATTTTAACCCAATAAAGAAAAAAATCTACAATATAGACAAACTTTAAAAATTAGAATAAATATATCATGTACAGGTACAAATTCCCTAAGATGAATGTGATCATTATGTATATCTAAACTGTATCAATAGCCAGGCGTGGTGGTGCACACCTGTAATCCTAGCACTCGGGAGGCTGAGGTGGGAAGATTGTTTTGAGTTCGAGGCCAGCCTGGGCTACAAAGTGCACTCAAGGCCAACCTGAACTGCATAGTGAGACCCTGTCTCAAAAAGACAAAAAACAAACAAAAAACCAAAAACCCCCCCCCCAAAAAACCAAAAACTGTACCAATAAGCTTAATTAAAATTTAAAAATTAGAATATTGATAATTATTTTAAAACTCAAGCTTTTGGGTCTTTAACCTAGCTAATTCCTTATAGTCATAACTTAAAAACTGTGTATCATAAAAGAATTCACTGTAGAATAAGGCACTCTCAAGCTACACTAGAGTAAGCAAAGTGGAGACAGGCAGAGGGAAAATACTAAGTTACTCCTAAGCAGACAGGTGGCTTACCTTTTTCCTCTCCTTTTCTAGTGCTCTCCATTGTTCATAGCACTCTTCCAGACGAATATGAAGTTCACTGGCTGGTCCACTACGAGTTTTAATTGGTCTTTGAAATCCAAAATTTGGCACAAAACCAGAAAAGGAACTATCACCATACATCATATCATTGAAATAAGGGTATAAGTGGCTTAAGTCATCATAGGAAAACAAATCATAGGAATCCAACAGTGGAAGCACTGAATGGCCAAATGGGTGAGTGGATCTTAGGGGAAACCCACTTGAACCAAGTGGTTGAAAACCCTGATTATGCCTTAAATCTCCCATCATATAATTATTAGAGAAGCATGATGCCTGTGTGCGATTCACACGGCTATTAACATTGTTGTCTCCACTTCCTTGTCTGTGGCTATTAAAATGCCCCTGTGCCTCCAACAGTTCTTGGTATGTATTTGGAGATAAGCCATCTAAATGCTTTGGGCCCTCCTCAGGATCATAATGTCCGCTCTGGGGCTTGGCTTGAAAATTATGTTTGTTTACATTTTCAGTGATCCCATACTGCTGAACCGAATAATTTTCACAAAATCCATTTGGCTGCTTTATTTTTTTATCTATAACCAATTCAAAGAGATTTTCTTCTCCAGTCTTTGCCAGTCCTTCCATGTGATTGATCGATTGAATTCTGTCTGCGCCATTGTAATTGAAATCAAAACTAGAAAATGCTGAAGAGTTTTCTTGGCAATACTTTTGAAATAAATTGCTACTTGGGGTTAAATTTGTGGAAGATAGCTGGGGGAAATCTGAAGAATGGTTAGAACCTTTTGGAGCTGCACTTAAATGACTATTTAATTTCATCAAGTTACCTTGATTTCGATAGGGAATAGCAGTGTTACTTTTTGTTTGAACGTTCATCCAAGTGGGTCTGTTTAAATTGATACCTCCTGAAGATGTTGCTGAGTTTGATAATAAATTCACTGATTTAAAATACTCAGAATTTGAGGGTTCAGGTTTAGCAAATTGCTGCTTTTCTGTGACAGTAGCAAAATCACTATTAGCTGGACAAGCTGTGTGAGGTTTTAGTCCATATTCTGACTTTAAGGCAAAATCAGCAGTGAATCCTGTTTCCTTTGCAAACTGCTTTTCTGTCAGATGTAGTGTAGTTTTTGGAAATGTGAAATTCTGCTGGTCAGATATTGTGTCCTCCATTTTTTTCTGATTTGCTGATTTAACCTGAAATAACTTTGTATAGGCATCTGCTTCTACAGTTGGTGTTTCAGCTGTGCCATTGGCTAATTTTTTACCATCTTGGACACTGAAATTTGAACATTTATTAAGCTTAGCCTTATTAGGGTGACCATATTCTGGGTATCTACAATAATCTGCATTTTCACTGTATCTATTAAATTGGGAAAGAAACATCTCTGCCCTTTTTTGTTGTAATGGTGCTTCAAGACCTTTAGCAAATATTTTCTCTCTTCCATAAGGGTAAGTATCAATTCCTGATTCTTTCACAATATCAGACAGACAAGTTTGAGGTGCAAAACAGTTCTTGATAAATGGATATTCTTGGAATGTTGCCTTAGCTGTCTCATTTGTTTGAATATTGTAACAGTTAGAATGATCACTTCGTGAGGGATACATCCATTGTTCATCCAGGTCTAAACCAGTAAATCCATGATAGAATTCATCTATTTTTTGTTGTGGTGTGAGATTACTATTATGCAGATACTGTTTTTCCACTGCTGACATGGATTCACCACTATAAAAAGTCTGCTGAGAGACTGCTGTATCTATTGGCCTTTTGGTTTCTGTTAAGAGGTCATGGTGATCTACAAATCTGCTTGTATTCATTGGCCAAACTGACTTTAAATTAGAGGAGCAGGTCCTAGAACAAGTAAATATATTTAATTACAACTTAAATTTTAAAGACATTATTTCCCCAGTAAAAAAGATAGAAAAGATTTTGTCCTATCCTCCCCGTTTTCAAATCTTGACTTACAAGGTACCATCATATGAAATGTGCTATATTCTCTGTAAACAATCATGCACTCACTCTTCAGTTAACAACGGACCACATATACAATTGTAATGGAACTGAAAATTTCCTGTTGCTCAGTGGCACATAATCATAATAATATCACTGTAGCCCAAGGCATTCCTAGGTGTTTATGGTACTGGTATAAACCAATGTACTGCATTAGTAGTCATATAGAAGTATAACATACAATTATGTACAGTATGTAGTATTGGATAATGGTAATGAATGACTTTTTTTTTTTTTTTTACTGGTTTGTGTATTTACTATACTTTTTGTTTTTTTTTTGCAGTACTAGGGATTGAACCCAGGGCTTTCACACTAAGCTACATTCCAGCTATTTTTTTGTTTCTTTAGGGTCTCAATATAGTGCAGGCTGGCCTTGAACTCACAGCATTCCTTTGGCTGAGCCTCCAAATGCTGCATTACAGGCACGCACCACTATGCCTGGCCCCCGGCACTTTTTTATGTTTTTATTTTGTGACAAGGTTTTGCTAAATTGCCCTGGCTGGGCTTGAACTTGTGATCCTTCTACTTCAACCTCCCAGGGTGATGAGATTAAAGGTATGCACCACCACGCCTGGCTTTTATTGTTGTTTTAAAGTGTATATCTACTTATTTTTTTAAAAAAAGCTAATGCAAAATCATATGCTGTATTGCACTTATTGCATCAAGAGGCCATGTTGAATGACCTGCCTATACCATGTGTTTATATAAGTATACTTCGATAGTTTGTTTGAATGACAACACAATCATTTAATAATGCACTTCTCAGAACCTGTCCCCTTCAGTAAGCATTTTAATCTATGTCTTCATTGTACTTTGCCAAAAGGCATCAACTGAGACCTTTAGGCTGGTGACTTGGGGGTCTTAGATGAATTGTTTATCTATCTTAAGTAGAGAATAAGAAAGTTTTTTCCTTTGATTAGGTTATTATATAATACAAAAGTACTGTTGACCACAATTTTTTTTAATGAAGAAAGATGTATTTTGCTTAAAGTATGTTTGAAATTGATTACATATGTGCGGCATATTTCCCTGTTTATGAAATAGGGTGTTTTGGTAATATGGTTTCCACACTCAATTAAAACAATATTTAAAATTACCACATGAATAAAATCCACATCTATTTCTGTAATGACTAATGAGTTTTATTCTTTAGGATCTATGTATAAAAGCTTCTTGGAATTTATACTCTTTAAGCCAAACTTCAGCTCACAAACTCAAGGGAAATAGTTCTAAATTATACAGGAACAAATTTTCAAATGAAAGTTCTCTAAGCAAATAAAATCTTAGATTGAATTTCAATTGTATGGCAATTACTTCAGTAAAATCAAGGCTCCTAGCAACAAATATCGCAGTAAGATGACTACTGTCAGGTGACCCAATATTAAGTGAAAATAAAAGTTAATAAACAAGGTAACCTAATATATGTGAATTTAAAAGCTTACTATACACTATAAAGATTATATACCATACTAACCCTTCAGGAAAATATGACTGCGATTTATCTTGTTCTTCCAGAATGTTAGACACAAGTCCATATAAGTCTGTTTCACTGCCATAGTCATTTCTTTCAGTTTGAATCCTAAAAATAAGTGAGTATCATGTAAACTGTTTTACTTGTAGTAAATACAATATACTGATTTCTCCTTCCAGACATATTCTTTTTTTCTCTAATGTACTTGGATTGACTTTATACCATCATTTCAAATAAAGAGGGAACAAGAACTCAAGAATACTTACTACTTTGGCATGATACCTAGCCTATATAAATTATTTCTGCCCTGTATCTACTTCAATGTATGCTTACCTCATTTTCTCCCCTAACACATGCTCTTCATTTCAGGTGACCAACAAATGAGCTACAGTGTCATAGACAAGATGTACAGAGCTCCTCCTAAAAGCATGTCTGGTTCTATAATTGTTCATTCACTCTATCATCACCTGCTCAGTGTTTTCCCTTATGATTTAAAGACCACATGAACCTGCTGCTCTTTTTGGGACTCTTTACATTAAATATCGCATCACAAATTGAAATATCATACGATCGTTCTACTTTCCATGGAAATTTTGCAATTGTCCTTAAAATACAATAGACTGGAGGGCTAACCTTAATCCTTGCCAAAGTAGTGACTAGCTGAGAGTCTGATGTCCTTGAGAGCCCAATAATACTGTCTAAATAAATAAAATGAAAAAAACACAAGCACATGGAAAACTGCTCTTTTACTTATAGTTTTTTGCTAATTCATTCCTAGAAATAATATTTTGTTTTAAGTGTAACTTCTTGCTTTTTTTTTTTTTTTGGTTTTTCTCCGGTACCGGGAACCGAACTCACGACCTTGCGCTT